TCTCTCCTGCTCCCAATCTAACCCAATTGAAAACCCACTGTTACAGTAAGAGATCCTAATCAATTTAGTTGCAAAAATTGAAGAACATGGTGTGTTAGTGGAGAAGGCCCATCAAGAATATAACATGGCGGTAAAGGATGTATTGGAGTTTAAGTGCCAAAGATGGGCTAGCAAAGAAAACAATGAAAGATTGAAAGATTCAAGATGCAAGGTTGCCTTTTCCAAGTCAATCAAGTTGCCAATTGAGTTGATGATTCGAATTAAACTCACTGTAACTAAGAATTGGGGAAAAAGGGCAGCACTTGCTTGGCAGATCCATCGGTTTGGCAATGAGCACCTTTTCACAGTGAAATTAGAGGTATTTTCTATTTTTTTACCATTTTCTTGTGTTGTCTCTAGCTAATTTGAGATGTTAGAAACAATAAAGAATGTGAGAAGAAACAGTCGAGAAAATTGAAGAATTTCAGGGGAATAGGAAAGGTTGTCATAGATTGTTTTTTGGGAAGGAAACTAGTAGTGGGCGGCAATTGCCATCTTTCCCTCCATAATTTCCCTCCCTTTTTTCTTGGTATATCAAGCTTTCCCTCCATAATAAGTTCACCTAATCTCTACTAAGGGAAGTTGGAAGGAAATCACACGAATTGATTGAACTTCATTCTCGCTTTTTTCTTTGTTTGTTTTCTATTGAATGTGACAAGGAAAATTTCTATTTCAGGTACACTTATAACTTAAAATTATTATTTTGATTGAGTTGTTTTGTCTACTTTTAGTCTTAGTGTTTCTTTTTTCTTTTTTATTGGATATATCTAGTATTCAAGTGTTCATCATGACTTGAAAATCTATTGAAGGTGGATTTGTTGTTCAAAGAATTGACTTCGACTTCAACTTGAATGACCCTCTTGATAAAGAAGAAAACTATGAAAATTTTGAAAGTGAAAATGATTTTGGTTCATTAGAAAGCATCTTTAAACCTTTTGTTGGTCAATGTTTTATGAGTGAAGAAGAGGCATTTATCTTTTACAGGAAGTATGCAAAAAGAAGTAGTTTTGCCATTCGAAAGGGGAGATTCATCAGTAAACAAGGGGAGAAGAAGAGATGTGACTTCTTTTTTAATCGTGAAGGTAAACCAGATTTAAAAATTGTTGATCCATCTAAAGAACAACGAGATAGGAAGTCACTTAGGTGTGAATGCAAGGCTCACCTGAGGATTAAATTGAACAAATCATTTGATATTTTCCCTAAGGAATGGCAAGTTACTAAATTTGTTGAGGAGCACAATCACAGTTTGTTGGTTCCTAATCAAGTCATATTTCTTGTGCCTTATTGCACAATTATGAAAGAAGATGAGACATGGATTTTGTTGTTGAAAGAAGGAGGCTTACTGTTAGACAAATAATGCGAGTTATGGGGGTATCCTCCATTTCTGGTTAAAGATATTCATAATTTTTATGGTAAGCTTAAAAAATTACATGCTAAGAGTGATGCTATGGATCTTTTACAACATTGCAAGAATGCTAAGGATGAAAATAGCAATTTCCAATATTCTTTTACATTGGATGAGGAAAGGAAGTTAGAGCACATATTTTGGTCTCCAGTCCCTTGTTTTCAGTGGTACCAAAGGTATGGAGATGTCATCGTATTTGATACTACTTACAAGATAAATTCTTATGAAATGCCTTTCGGTGTCTTTGTTGGAGTTGATAACAATGGGAGGACAATATTATTGGGCTGTGCACTTCTTCGTAATGAAACAACAAATGCATTTCGATGGTTAATGAAGGTAATAAATTGTTGTCAATTTTTTATGTTAGTATTTAAAACTTATATGCTTTTACTATAACTTTCTAGTCTTGTATCTTATTGTGGGCTTGTTACTTTGAGGTTATATGGTTCTTTAAGGGTCTATGAATCAGTATAAGTTCTTTCTTTATTTTTGGATATTATGCTATCTATCTAATTAATTTAATCTTCTTGTAAAAGACTTTTGTCAATTTAATGGGAAAGCTACGAAAGACCATATTGACAAATCAAGATCCCTGGATGGCAAGTGCAATTGCAAAGGAAATGTATGCCAAGTAAATTTAGTGGCTGGTTTACCTCAATTCTTAAAAATCAATACTCAAGTTGGTGCTCAAACTTTTATAGGTTGTATAGGTTGGATACTTTTGAAAAATTTCAGAGGCAGTGATTTTAACACTTAAAAAGTACAATATGGAGATGAATAAGCATGTGAAGGGATTATATGACATCAGGTATTTTTGGGTGTCAGCCTATCTTCGTAATCATTTTTTTGGTGGCATGACTACTATTGGGAAATCTGAAAGTATAAATGTTTTTATAAAGTGATTTATATCTTCCCACTCATCATTATGCCAATTGTCAAACAAGTAAGTATAATTTTTTGTCAAAAATAATTTTACATGTTTTCCCATTTTTTTTTATCACAATTATATTTTTAAAATTTCATTTATATGTTTGTAGATTGATCTTACTGTTGAAGATACTAGACAAACTCAACTACATGACTCTATGTTGGAGACTAATCGAGGATCTTATTTAAGAACCATGTCTCCTCTAGACGAGCAGGCTCACAAGATCTTAACTTCTTTCTCCTTCAAAATATTCCAAGAACAATTTGGGTTGGCCACTCAATATATGGTTGTTGAAGAAAATCATGTGGAGTTCAAGGTGAAACACCATAAAGCGTTACATGGTCAAGAGCACAAAGTATTTTGGGATGGCGAGATTGCTACTTGTGGTTGTAAGTTTTTTGAATTTCAGGGATTACCTTGTTGTCATGTGCTATGTTTGTTTCTTCATAAAGACTGTTTTGAAATTCCTTTTATATACTTCCTACCACGATGGTGCCATGAAGATTTACAATGTGTGGAAGATTTTATAAATTCAAATAAGGAGGAATCAAAAGGGACCAATCCTATTGAAGAAAATGTTGAGCTTGTTCATTGTCCTCCCATCTCAAAGACTAAAGGACGCCCTAAGCAAAAGAGGATGAAAGGAGGAAAAGAGTTGGCAAAACAAGTGAAAACTTGTAGCTTGTGCAAATGTCCTGGCCATAACATTAGTACATGTCTAGAGAATGAGAATAAAGATGTTCTGAACAGTGCTCATAAGCGGAAAAAGATTGCTTCAGAGGAAGGTGATTTGAATCCTATTTTTGCTCTGAAATATTAGAAGGGAAACATTAATTTTAGCTACTTTTTTTCTTGAGCACAATTTTAAGGAAAGTAAATAGTTGAATCAATGAGTGTTAATAGTTGTGTTGAATTGAAAAATATACCAATTTTTATTCTCAAAAACTATTGAGGATATAACTTTGTAATTTTTTCAATTTTACTTCTATTAATAATTACTTTATTTTTAAAAATAACACATTTTAACTTCCCAATAACCCTTACCAATAAGTGTAAAAATGAAAATTTTAATTATTAATAAGTGTATTTTTTTAAAAAAAAAGAAGGGTTTTTCTAACTTATACTTGTTAAGAGTTGCACTTTTTTCCATTAATTATTATTAAAAATACAAAATTTGTCATTAATTTCACCATCAGTGCCATGTGGATCATTTTAATTAGATAATTATTTAAATAAAAGTTAACTTTTATTTTTTCAATAGTAATTAATGTGAAAAAGTGCAATAATTACACCTTTAAGAGTTCATGTTAGAAAAATCCAAAAAAGAAAAATCAAGACATCCTATTTTTAAAAATGTTTGTACATCCAATTGTAACTGTTGAGTGGGACAATCCCACTTCGAGTCTAAAACAAAGAAATATATGGGTTAAATATAAGACGTGCTACTTCATTTATTGCCAATTGGTTTTAGATTAGATGCAAGGCTTGTGTTGAGCCCATATACAGAATTTTCACATGGTATTAGTGCTTAGGTACCGTTTTGGAAAACCTATTGTTAGCCTACCTGATAAGTTCTGAAGTTGATACCAGGTTTGCATGTATGGGTAAAAAGGCATATTAAACTATGGGTCTGAGCATGAGGAGGTGTGTTGAGTGAGAAGAGAGCTACTCCACATTTCACCAATTGGTTTTAGGTTAGATGCAAATGCACAATTTTCACAATAACTATTAAATGTGCGGCCATAACATGGGTTCTATCTTTATTAAGTTCATCATGTGACAATTATTAAATGTCCTAACATTTTTAATTTTAAAATATCTTGACCTTTTTTTTTTTTTCCTTTTTATGAATCTCTGTTAATTTCTTATATAATACTATCAGGTAAAAATGTAACAAATAAAATGGACAGAGATACTAGCTACGGTGTCTTGGATGTAGCTCGGTAATTGGAACCTCGTTCATTGAAGCCAAGGCAAGTCCATAGAAAATAAGGGTATTTTTTTGCGTGTACCTTCTAATTATTTTCAGCAATCAAGTATATATGCCATGACCGATTAAAATGACATGAATCAAATTATATAATCAAATTATACACTTGAATCATGGGTTTGTATAGTCTAAGGGTCGTGATAAAGAGTAATTACTATGTAATTGATAAATTATTTTAAAAAAATGTGAAATTTTAAATAAAAAAGTACAAGTTCTGATTTTTATTCAAAAAGAATCAATAAAAAAAAAAAACTAGCACGTAACATTTGGCAATTAAAACAAAAATAACATCTTTTTCAAGATTTTTTAATATTTACTTTTTATTTTGTGCCTCAAGGGCACATGATAGATAAATTGATAAATTATTATTATTCAATAATTATTATTTTTTTTTTGAAGTACATGATAAATAAACTGGTCATTAAATGGAAGTTGTTTTGCTTATGAAAAAGAAGCTAGTATATATTTGAAAGAACGATATTAGATTCTAGTACATCTAATAAACGAATTCTAGCATTACTCAAAACTGGATTGATAATATAAAATTTAATTGTACCTTTGAATCTTAGAAACTATCAAGAATATAGCTCTACGATTGAAACATCTTTTTGTGTGGAGGGGACTAATTCATCCTTTTATTTCTTTGAGTTTGATACCCTTGAATTGTAGCCACGTGAGGATGACGGGTCTGATTCAATGGGGCTGTGCTTAAAAAATGCAGGTTGAGAGGGCATTGGAAGAGAAATTGAATTGCTATTAAGCAAGAGAACAACTGAAGCCAAGGTTTGTCTTTCAGCAAAATTTTCTTGAACACAGAGCAAATCAATATGGATATATCTCATCATTTCAGCCGTTGAACCATTCCTCAAAGTTGGATCTATGAGATTTAATCCTGTCCCTTCCCTCCAACTTTTCCACGCCTGCAAAGGTTATAAATGCACAAGTGCATAAACATCAAACCAAGATTTGAACTTCTAATATTTGTCACAAGAAAGAAACATAGTAAGTATAGATTCTCATACTTACAAAACTTAGTAAGTCTTCTATATTCTCTCCATTTTGAAAACAACTATTTTTCTGACCACTAACAATTTCTAGAAGTAGCACACCAAAACTAAATAAATGCACAAGTGCATAAACATCAAACTAAGATTTGAACTGCTAATATTTGTCACAAGAAAGAAACATAGTAAGTATAGATTCTCATACTTACAAGACTTACTATATTCTCTCCATTTCAAAAACAACTATTTTCTGACCACTAACAATTTCTAGAAGTAGCACACCAAAATTGAATACATCTGATTTTAAAGAACTGCCCATGCATTGCATACTCTAGAGCCATGTATCCATTGTAGTATATCAAAGGCAATGAGATCAATTTCAACATAAAAAATGATAAACTCATGTTTTGGTATTTTCTTAATGCAATACATAAAAAAACCATTCTTGGTACTTTCATGCAATCAAAACCGAATAAAGCTACTTGACTATTTATTTGTATAAGAAACAATTCAAAGTTTCACTCCTTTTTAATGCTTACTAAGTTCCCACAATTCTACTCATATTGCCCTGTGTTTCATCCTTTACAACTAATCTTGCCATGCCAGAATTTGCAATTTTAGGATTCATATATCTTCATCTAATAAAATGTTATTTGTTTTGAGTTCACAATGAATTCTTTGTTGAAGATGAGAATTCTCATGCAAGTAAAGAAGGCCATGAGCTATGCTTCCACTGATTTTGTAACGCTTTTCCCAATCCAATTGTGCACGCTTGGTAGGATCTATATATTTGTAGTTCATATAAGTATGCCATTAAAGAAAAGGACCAATAACCATACAGGATATGAATTTAAAAGATGATGAGGGCTTTGCAAATGACCAAACCCCGTCAAACATACGAACTCAAATGTAATTATTTATGAACAGAATTGAAAGTCGAATCAATAGCAAAAACTAAAAGGCACATACCAAAAATGAAATGATCAAGGCTTGTTTTTGGCACAGATTCATAGATTAGAAGTCTTTCATCTCCTTTCAAGCAGAAGCCAAGAAGTCTAACCAAATTCCGATGTTGAAGTTTGGCCACAAAGAGGACTTCATTTTTGAATTCTAAATCTCCTTGTCTAGAAGCCCTGGATAGCCTTTTTACGGCTATATATATCTTGTCCATGTGGAAGCTTGCCCTGTATATAAAGCAGAGTGATATAATAACTAAATGTGAGTAGAATGAATACCAGAGTAATGTTCTTCTCTAATTTATAACATCAATTACCTTGTAAAATGCTCCGAATCCACCTTGTTCTAGTTTATTTTCTTCACAGAAGTTCTTAGTTGCTGCCCGGACAGTGGCTAAGTCATATTGCAAAGACTCAGCCGTGATCAATCCATCAGCAGCTGCCGAAAGCAAGAGCAATACATAATACATGGGAGTAAGGTTAAACTAAATCTCCACAGCAGGAGTGCATTTGAATCGCATTATTACTTACGTTCCTCATTTTCCCTTGGCTTAATTTTTGCATCTTAAACAGATCCAAATGCAGAGGACAAGTGACAGAATTCCGACAGTGGAAGCAACGACGGTAATGATGATTGTTTGAGTTGTTTTGCTCCATTTCCATTTCCATTTCTCGCAAAACCCAAAGTTTTGGATGCAAAACAGTAAACAAAAGTCTATTTCTAAAAATTTTGAGGCCAGGCAACGGCATTAAAGTTGTCCTGTCCATGTTAGCAATATGCCAAAAGCAACCATGATTACGAAATTACAAGTTTCTCCATTTAAAGGAACCCCTTTTTCTATCCCAATGTCAAAAAAGTTATTGGGGTATAATCGTAAAGTTGTAATTAGAGGTGAAGAACACAGTTGGAAGGAAATAAAAGATGGAGGTATTTTTTAAGAAATACCATTTGAGTTTGGGGCTTAAAGTCAGTTTACCCAAAAGGAAAGCAAGCGAACTTTACCTCCCGTTCGCTGGGGTGAGGACGGCAGTGGTGATGGCTGGGGAATGTCATCTATGGCTGCAAAAAATACATCGGTCTCGTATCTTAAATTACAGCTGGGTTGCAGAACTCTGCATGCATCCGATCTTCCCGTAGCAGTCAAAGGAGATCCTAGAGGTTGCCGTTGTCAGACTATCACTGCAATTTTGCTGGGACAGATAGGGAGTACACTGCATGATTGCTTAAATTCTTAGAAAGAAACCCGGACCCATCACTTTATCCACCGCATACTTGCGAAGAGAGCCTTCGGCTGCAGCACGACTGCTCAAATTAGTCAACAAAGAGCTCAACGCCTGATTGAACCCATCAACATGCGAGGTGTTGTTAACATGAGAAATAATAGCGAAAGGACTGCCTTTCATGGATCCATAGAGTTGTTGATTTGAGCAGCGGGCCGTACAGCATTCCGACCACCCGATCGCCTCTTTGTAGCTGGGACATTGCTGCTGGAGCTCGACGACCGTCTCGTTCAGGCAGCTTCTGCAATTGTCCTCCCTTTGGTCTCCCCTCCAGAGTCCGATTTGAAAGAATTTGAAGAGGAATATAGAGAATAAGAATACTGAGCTTGTATTTTAATCTAACTTGGTACAGATATATATATAATTACATCCAACGGTAAAATCCTAAGTTATTGCAATTAATCTTGATTGTGAATTCTTGCTGTGATTGAGTCCATTGCTGTGATTGAATATTTTCAGCTTTGATTGAGAGTTTCTGCATTGAATGGAAGATTTCTTTGGCTTTCCTTCTTGATTGACTGTCATAGAACTTTCCTTGTTTGCAGGATCATGATCCTGATCTGTTGTACAGGCCTTCATACGATTGCATTAACCTGGCCAGGGCTCCAGCCGATGCGCAAATTGTAGAACCCATAGCTGAGAAAACAGACGGTTGAGGTTGGCATCGTAAGTACTGTTGGTGGTGAAGTTGCAATTGTTAACACAAGCAAACTTGAAATCAGGGTGGGCGGCAGAAATGAGATTTATGAGAAAAATAAGATCAGAAGCAGTCTTGAACATCCCATTTGTCTTCCTTCAAAACCCATTCATTCAAGGGAAGATAGCCATTTATGTCTAATGAGGTTGTAAAGTTATCAAGTTGCAGCAACTTGCCATTAATTTAAGAACAGTGCTAGGGGCACTCGCCTCTTGCACTCTCCGACCAACACTTCCCCTTTCATTGGGCCACGTAAGCTTGTTTTAGCCGTGAAGTGCAACCTCTTACAAACCAGAATAACGTGGCCCAATAAAAGTGAAAGTGTTGGCCGGGAGGTTCAGGAAGCGAGTGCCCCTAGCACTGCTCTTAATTTAATATGAAATTAATTATGAATAGATGAAGATGGGAGTTTATCGATCTGTGACACAGCCGCCATGGATGAATTTTGACCACAAACCGCCATAGAAATGAGTTATTAAAGCATCCTTGGTCACTGGTAAGCATAGTTCTTAGATTAATTAAATTGGTATTGCAGAAGTTTTTCAGCTCGTGTTATAAGCAAATCTAAAAGAGAAGACAACAACAGACTTTACATTCTTTTTCAGTTTTTCTGTTTAAAAATTTTCTTTATTGAGTCATTGACAGTTGACAAGATTGCATATGTGCCTTTCTTCCATTAAAATCACTATGAAACTACAACATCTTGTTCCAAAAAAGAAATGACATAACTTGTTAGTGATGATAATTTTTAAACAACTGTTGATACAGGTCTTCAACTTCTAGCTATCTTGGATGTAGGCCAGTAATTGAAACATCGTTTATTGAAGCCAGGGCAAGTCCAGTGTTGGATTGTTTGGATTCATGCGAGGATGACATTTCTGACTGATCAGTTGTGCTTTGCAACAAATAGGCAGGATGTGGGGGTGTTGGGAGAACTATAGAATTGCTGGTAAGCATTACAATAATTGATCCCATAGTTGGTCTTTGTAGTGGATTTTCTTGCACACAAAGTAATCCGACATGGATGCATTTCATCATTTGAGCTGTTGA